ACCCCCCCCCAAAAAAACCATATTAAATATATTACATTTAACACAGAATCATAAGGCTGGGTTCCTGGTTTCATCTTTAACTTGGGCTCGGCACTTAACCCCTCTGAGCCTGTTTCCTCGTGTGTAAAATGAAGTTAATTTCTGTTTAAAGCGCTCCAGTGGCTTCCCCTTCCCCAGTGTGCAGTCCAGTCTCCTCATCATGGCCCCCGCACCATGGCGCTGGTGTCAGCCTCCATCTCTGGACTTACCCCATGTTCCTTGGCCCTGCTTGGTGGGCTCTGGTCCCCCTGGCCTCCGCAGTAGCAGCCCTGGGATGTGCCAGGCTCCTGCCACCTCTGGGCTTCAAGCTGTTGCATGTTCCCTTTGCTTTGCCTGGAGAGCTTTTCCTTCGAGAGGGTGGCTCCTGGCTTATTAGCTTGTGGGTCTCTATTCAAATGCCCCATCGTCCACCCCATCCAGGAGAGTCGGCCCATCTTACCCCAGTGTCCAGTCCATCCCCACCTGTCTTTACTGGCTTCAGAGCACTTGTTACTACTTCAGCTTACATTACTTATTTGATTGCTTATTTCCAGTCTGTCACTGTCACTAGCATTAAGCTCTTTCAAGCCTGGGAACGGTGTCCTGCTTGACTCCACGCCCAGGCCTGAGTGTAGGAGGCACTGGATAAATACTCTGAAGTGGCCTCTATTGTTCTTTATCCTCATGCTAGCCCTATGGTTAGTTCCAAAGAGAGGCTCTGAAGCGGTTTATAGATACACAGGTCATGCAAAATCAAAAATAGTTAATAAAAGCGGATGGAGACAGGGGGCTGGTATAGACGCATATCCGTCCTAAGCCCTTTGCAGAGGGGCTCAGTGCGCACCGCGGGGCGAGCGGGAGCCCGCAGGGGTCAGAACACAGTGCCGCAGCCGAGGGTTAGGCGTGGCCCGTGAAGCCAGGCCACCTGGGTCTGAAGCCGGTGCCTCGGCTTCCCCACGGTGACCTCGGCTCCCCCAGCCTCCTCTGGAAAGCGGGATGGTGGTGGCCGCTAACCCATGGAGTGAGGGTCATGTGAGACGGGGCCTGGCCTTCGTGAGGGCTCTCTGCATGAAGGCCGTAATCGCTCCATTCCCACCCCACCCCAGGAGGAGTCGATGTCGTGTGTCATTTTATAGATGAGGGACCCGAGACACGGAGAAGCTAAGTAACTGGCCCAAGTTCACGCTTCTGGCGGATGGCGTAAGAAAGACCTTGCATTTAAAAATACGTAATTTAGAAATTCTTATAATTTTGATCTCTGTGTGTCCTATGTAAACATTAATGTAGTTAAAACATTTTAACAAAAGATTTTTAATTGTTATCTTTAAGGGGAGGTGAGAGTGAAATGAATTGCTGTCGGACATTAAAAGAACTCGAAGTCCAAGTAGGAGAAAAGGTAATCGAGAGCTTTCAGAGTTCTTCCCCCAGTCCCCACCCTTCGTCAAAAGTAATTGCTATTTTTCTGGAAAAGGCAAAGCTATGTAAAATTTAAAAGTTTAGTAGTTGCTAGAGGTTGAAGGGCAGAGGGTGGAGAGAGAAGATGATTTAGGTGGAAAGCAGAAGATTTTTAAGGAAGTGAAAATACTCTGAAACCATAATGATGGCTACGTGTCATTATACATTTGACAAAACTCATAGAACGTACACCAAGAGTGATCCTTAATGTAAACTAGGGACTATGGGAGATTACGATGCATCAATGAAGGTTCATCAATTGAACCAAATGTCTCACTCTGGTTGGGGATACTGATAATGGGGGACACCATGCATGTGTGGGGACAGGAGGTATATGGGAAATTGCTGTACATTTCCCCCAATCTTGATGTGAACCTTATACTGCTCTTAAAAATAAATTCTTAATAAAAAAAAAAACCCCAAAATGCCAAAAAAAAAAAAAAAAAAAAAAAAAACTTGCTAGCAGAGGGAGCTGAAGCAGAATGAGCTGTGTCTTGTCGCCCGCATTCTCGTGCCTCACCCAGTAGAGCTCATACAAAAGCCTGTATTCACATGACTTCGCCTGCCCGGATGGCATCCTTTTTGATGAACGACACCAGCAGAAGTCCTGGAATATTAATTACTTTTGTATTAACTTTAGATCATTATTAGTAGGGCTGCCCTTTTGGTTTTTGTCTACGACTGAGGCAGGGTTTTCTTTAGAAAGAGAAAACTACTGCTTTTCGGCAGTAAATGCCAATCAAGAGCGGCGTGGTAAAAATAACTGGTGAAACTCAGAGCGATACATATTTAAGAATTGAGTAATTTAGCCACCAAAGCTACTACGTGTGTTTAAAAAGGAGCATATAGCTCTGTTCCTGTTGGCCGGTTGTGGGTAGCTATCAGGGCGCACAACTAGGGAGGGAGGAGATGCTCACGGCCTTCGGGGGCTGGAATCGGACCCCTTTTTAAAATGCATTTGGGCCTGTCAGTTACACGAGCAGTTTGAGAATCATAGTTTAATTTACTTGATTCAATATGTTGGTTTGAAATGTGACAAATTTTCTTTCCTTTTTGAACTCTTCTGAGATTGTCAAACATTTCAAAGTCAAAAATAGCCAGAAACCCACAAAATGCTTGTCTGCATTTCCCTGGCTTATGCCGTTAACACCAGAAAATGCTCCTAAAAATCTCCTTTCACTATAGTTTATATTAGTAGGAACCCTGGTGCAATGATTTGCTGCTTCTGTTGTGGTTCATTTGTTATTCTGTAAGAAATATGCAATATTTGTGATTGATATGTAATAGATATTATTTATGGTATATGTCTTTAATTTGTCTCTTCACAAACTTGGCTAATCATGAAATTATCCTAGGAAAGTCAGCTGTTTATGACGATCATGCTTTCAACATAGGTGGGTCAGTAATGCAACGTTACAGTTAGGGGAGGGGAGGGACATAGGCCTAGCTTGTAAGTTACTGAAAGTGAGGCTTCGAAGAGGAAAGCTGAAGGGGAACTCCACCACTGGCCGCCCTTTCATCTCAGTCCTTTTTCATCCTGGCCTCCTTCGCATAGAAGCCCCCTCACCAAGAGTGAGTTTAAAGCAGCGCGGTTTAAACAGAAAGGTGACAGCGAGAGGCTGAGGAACGGGTGATAGAGGTAACGCCCGACCACAGGGCAGCTCCGAGGCTTTCTCTGCCGTGCAGTCTGGCCAGCACAAGCTGCCGCCCCAACTCTACCTGACGCCCTGGCGCTGGGCAGGCAGGTGGCGTGGACGGGCTCTGCCATTTACCAGCCGGGTGGCCTTGGGCAAAGTCCTTGTCATTGGGCTTCTTCATCTGTCGGTGGGGATAAGAACACCCACCTCACAGAGCTGTTGCGTGGCTTAAAGGTATCCAGCATAAAGCACCTGGAACACTTAGGTGATGCCAGCTATCATTATTATGGTTATTACTACAACTTCCTTTGAAGTATAGGTAGGACCTTAAATGAATGTCGTCCCTTCCCACCGACCCCAAAGTAAACAGAACAGACCAAATCCACTCCTCAGCTGCTGGCTGTGTGCAGTAGCATGTTTCCAGCTACAACTCTGGTCCTGCAAACGGGCCACACTCAAACATTGGAGACAGAGAGGAACACCTAGCGATTAGTAAAAGAAGGCTGTCTTCAGACATACATTGTCATTGCTGGGCGATCTACACAGTTTGGGAATGAAAGATGCTAATTCTTTTGTTTTAAATATAAGTCCACATGGCTTATTGGAGCCAAGAATGCATGCAAATGTCTCTCTGAATTTTGGGAGCCAGACTTTGCTGAATGTGTGTGTGGTCTAGCCTCCCTAAACCAACAAGTAGTTAGCAGTTGGCACCCCAAACTGCCCGAACCCCGGGGCTTGGGTATCCTAATTGTTTTCTTCTGCAGTGAGCTTGGTCTGGTGGCTGGTTCCTCAGCCTCGCCCTAATTCACGTGCACTTAGACCTTCCAGCATGTGTTCACATTCACGCTCCTTGTTCAGTCGAAACCTTGGGCTTCCTGAGTCTCGTCCCCGTCAGTCGAGGGGAAGGCAGACTGGGTGGTCTCCGGGGCCCATCTCTCTGTCCTTTGGTGACTGTGACCCGTGGCTTCACGTGAAGAGCCTGCTGTCTGCGGCCGTGGGGCCCGAGGTGGTCCTCAGGGTGTCGTCTCAGGCTCCCGCTGCTCCTGGTTCCTGCTTTAACCTGCACTCGGGCTCCACCCAGTGGGCACTCTGAGGCTGGTGCGCAGCTCCCTTGCCCTCGTCCTCTCGGCCCCGGCTTTTCCTTGTTCACAAAGAGGACTGTGCTTCCCTCTGGCTCCTCTTTTGTGCCTTCTACGGGGCATCTCCTTGGCTGCCCTTGAGTTCTCTGGTCTTCAGGTTCCTTGCTCTCTTAATCTCCTGGGAGGTGGAGGGAGTCAGTGGGAAGGAGGCGCACCTGGCCTGAAGTCTCACCTCTGCAGCGGCCCACGGGCCGTGGGCAGGTCTCCCGCTGCTTTGACTTTCCCCGTCTCTGGAGGCAAGACAACAGCACTTCCCCGTCAGAGTGATCACGGGAGTGAATGAGCATAATGTAAGTGACGCCCTTGCATACAGCAGATGCCCAGTAAATACTCGTCCCTTCCTCTACCCATCAGCGAGGCTGGTCCTCCCTGTCAGGCGCTCCTGAAACCCTTCCTGTGGTAGCTTTACCGCCACCAGGCGGGGCCCCGTCGTCAGCCACCGAGGTATCTGGTCGTCCTACCCTGTGACAAGCAGAGGCCCCCAACTGAGCTGAGATGATAAGGAACGTCTCATCTCGTCGGAGAAGTCCGGAGGGAGGGCAGGTCAGGGTCTGCTCACTCGCATCTCCTCCGGTCACCGGGAGGTGGCCAGCATTCCAGGCTCGACACGCAGATGCCGCGATGTCGGATTTTTTCCAGCATGCTGTTTCTTCCGCTATGACTCTATAAACACGGGGAAACTTCTTCCTGTGACTCACAGGCCAGGATTTTGTCCCCGCCCAAACCAGTCACTGGCGGTGGCATTGGCCGCTGCAAGCAGCCTGGACCAAGCCTGGTCACTCCCTGGGGTGGTGGCTAGGCTCCCTCCCCTTAGGCACGGGGCAACCCAGGGGGTGGATATCTGAACCAAATGGAAAATGGAGGGTTTCGTTAGAAAGAGAAGGGGTTAGAGGTCAATGGATTTGGAGAAAGCGACCAACAGTGTCTGCTTCAGCCTTGCAGCGAAAGAACCCCCGGCTGGCTGGTCCTTAATCCTTCGGACACTGATGTAATTGTTTGGATTTTGCCAACTCTGATAATAACGAGAGTTAGCACGGATTGAGCACTTACTAGGAGCTGTTCTAAGTGCTTTACTGTGTGTATGTATTCAGTTTAGGCAGGTGCCCTTGTTATCCCACCTTGATATGGAGGGAAACTAGAACAGAGGCTGAGCAGTTGGGCCAAGTGTGCACAGCTGGGGGGCAGAGGAGCTGCAGTCCCCGCCTCGGCTGCTGGCTCCAGGGTCCTGGCTCTTAACCTCCGGCCACCCTGCCTCTGGGAGGACCCTTTAGGAAAGGCGGCTGCCTGCAGCAAATGTGACTCTTTGTTATGCCTGGAGGTGGACCCAGCGCATCGCAGAGAAGCATCTCTGCTCACGGAAGCCGTATGAAAGAGTGGAGGTTGTCTTCTAGCCACAGGGTCATCTCTTTGTCCGTGTAGCATCTACTTCAGATTTGGGAATTTTCCCTCCTTTTCCGTCTCTGGCATCCTGCCCTCCCATGCTTCTTCCCAACTCCTCAGACGCTTATGCTTCTGCCCGTCCTGCAGGGCCCCAGCCGCGTCCTGGAGCCACAGCACCTTCCAAGGCCCAAGACTTAGGTTCTCCACATGCTTCAGGTGAGGAGTCTGCCAGGAAAAAAGGACCTAAAGCAAAGCTTCCATGTGTTTCCAGGTTAACAAAGTTTGGGTCTTTTTACTATGTTTTATCTTTTGTCAACTCCCCACATGAGGGTGAGGTGGAAGTAAAAGAAGAGGCTAACAAAGGAAGAGAATCTCATCTTGCCTCTTGAGGTGAGGGGATGCTCATTGTAAGCCGTGTCCCGAGAATTGCCGAGACACAGGAAGCTCTTCTGACATATCAGAACACGGTGTGTGTTTGGAAGTGTCATGACTAGTCTCCTCCCCCAACATGCAAAAAAAAAAAGTTTTAAATTGAAGACTAGAATTCAAGAATGTGCAGTTCAGTTAAAGACATTAAAAAAAGGAAAATAAACAAACCCACCCAAAGCCCCAGGCTGTTTGCTCTCGTACCACATCACTGCCCCAATCAGGGCTGCTCTTTTTAGCCTGGGAGCTGTGCTGTCAGAATACCTGGTCTGCCCAGTCAGCCGTGACTAGTGTGTCTGTTGGACACCAAGTGACACAAGTCGTTATGGGATTACCCTGGGGCCCTGGGGTTGTGGAGA